GCTGGGTGTGCTCTTCCTCCCACCCTTTGGCCTGTTAATTATAGATGCCGCATCGGCTATTAACATCCTGAACCTGAGCTGAAAGAGCTGCTGGCAGAGGAACCCTGCAAGCTGCAGAAACGAAAACCTCTGCTCCGCCCTCCCACAGCCTCCCCGCCCAGCGCTGCAGCGCAGGACCAGACCCCTGTGGGGAATGAGCTCTATGTTCTATTACATTTGTTTCCAATGTTGTTTATTCAATTTCCTTCCTGCAATACGCTGCTTTGTAGTTTGGCCCTGTTTGGGAAAATTAATCAACAGCTGGGCTTCTAGAGTGGATCATGAGTTTTCCTTGCAGTGGGCGTGAGGTTAATGAGGATTTTGTGGAGTGGGAGGAGGAGGAGGAAGAGGAGGAGGAGGAGGATGGTGGCTGACCCTCCCTAGCATAAACGGAGGTGGCCAGGATGGAAGCTCACCTCCCGGACTCCCTAAATACATTCTGCAGGCGGAGGGAGACAGTGCCACCTGAGCAGACCCAGCCCTTCAGATCCACGTGGAGGTGATGTGCACCTGCCGCCTGACAGAGCCCAGCAGAGACCCCTCCTACTAGATGGTTCAGGCATGGAAGGATCCTGGACTCTGGCTCAGAGTACTTATTTTCTGTTTTAAAATAAGGTCTTGCTTGCTAAATTGCCTAGGCTGGCCTTGAACTCATGATCCTCCTGCCTCAGCCTCCTTCCAGAGTAGCTGGGATCATAGGTTAGTTTTGTTTTGCTTTCGTTTGGTAGACTGGGTCTCCCTTTGCAGTTCAGGGTGGGCTTGAACTCACTGTGTACCCCAGGCTGGCCTCAAACTCACCGTGATTCTCCTGCCTCAGCCTCCTAAGTAATGCCATTATAAGCATGCACCGCCGTGCCTACACATCCAGATAAAGAAAAGGGTTTAAGGCATGGGATTGTAAACCCTGCACTGTGGGAGGCTGAGACAGTAGGGTTGAAAAGTTTGAGCCAAGCTTGGGCAATTTAGTAAGACCTTTTATCTCAAAACAAATATTTTAAAAGGCTGGGGATGCAGCTCAGTGAGCAGGCCCTGGGTCCAATCTCTAATGCCACCCCCACCCCAAAAAGAGCGGCCCGAGGTGCCAGGCCTCATCCGTCTATTCCCTCAGCGGAGCAACACTGGCTGAGCACCTGTGCCAGTCCAGGCACCCACAAGCCTGGTGTCTAACTCTGGGCTGGAGGCCGTTTAGCATCCCTTCCTGCTCCTCCAACCCCCACTTCCAGGGCTGGTGTC